GACTGGGTTTTTTAAATCTGGAATGCATTCTTTCAGACTGACGAAAGTGCCTGGAAAAAAGGGGAAATCATTCAACCATTGGGCCAAATGATAATAAGTAATAAATTAATTTACTGGAATAAAAATTGAAGACTGAGGCCAATGGAAAAACATTAACACGGTAAAAATGAATCATTTTATCCAACTGTAAAAATGAGAAAGGAAAACGAGACTGCGGGTTTAAACATGAACATCATATACCAGGTACCTTGCAAACCCGAGGAAAACCACTTACCTAAATGATAGTTTGAGAATCTCCGGATAGTGGAAATGTTATGCTAACCCTCTGAATTATTATAGTTATTATTTAAAGTCGAAATTAGTCCGCAGATTCTGATTCTTTCGAGAAAGAAAAAGGCAGGCCGAGGCCTGACCTGGTTATGATCCTTGGGCGAGGCAATGCCCAAAAATTACAGGGGAGAGGACAGGGGGGAGGGTTTGGTTTGAAGAAAGGAAAAAACCTTAAATAATGGATTCACACAACTTCATTGTGAAGAAAACGTTAATGAATCTTTCGAAAACTTGCTGATTAAACGGACCCTTGAATTGAAACGATCAGAAATTACACAGAAAGCTCCGATCACTTTTTCATCCCAGTCCAGCACTTCAAGGCTTGTAGTGATGGCACAAAGCAGGAATCGAAAGTCTTCCAATAAATTGTAGGCTTCTCCAGCCCTTATCCTGTTTTCTGTCTCGATGCATTTATAGATACCGTGTCGGTAGAAGTCCCAGGCGTAGCCATTGAGTCGCTGCCATGGTTTCGTGAGTGGCAGAACTTCTATCGGCGTGAAAGCCTGTAAGTAAATGCAAGAATGCAGCATTCACACCGAAAGCTTCATTGATAAAACAGAACTTCGATTTCTCATTCACTTCAACCTAGACGCTCTCTCCTGCAGATATGTATTTATTATCGTCACCATGATGGCCTAGAAGAAAGGATAATGGGGAAAACATGCGGACCTCAATTCTGATGTCAGGGATGACGTGTCGGTTGGGGATGAGGTCTTCGTCCGTGACGTCACTGAGAGCCGAAAAACGAGAAACAATCTTCACCTTCAAAGCAGATTCCTTCAACCTAAACTCCAAGCTCCCTACTGCAATGAAAAACATATGAAACACTTCATCTTCCATTAAAATATATTCATTGCCAGGGGAATGTTCATGGACAGGGAATGGTACTTCATTAAACTGAAGTACCATTCCCTGTCCTCAACCTCCTCTTGAGTAATCCACTTCCTCTTACTATCATGTGAAGGTATATGGTGAAACGAAGTCAAGGATGCTTCTTGCTTTTAGAGCAATGAATCACTTATAAAAATTAGAATTCTTGGAGTTACGGGGAACACAGGAACTCTTTTTGTAAAAGCGTGATTTACTTCCTTCACATGGATAGTCCCAACATAAGATTTCGGAGGAGATAGCCCAACAAAAACTAGTTGTGAACTTAAGAGTCAAGGTACATGCCATTTCCGGACCATGAGATTGGCGATTTTGATGTGGAACATATAGTTTTGTTCATTCGAAAATTCATCATGCATGCTCCTGTCCTGCTCCTTTTGATTCTTGACGGCTTGGTGCATGTATTGCTGTTTTTAATTTATATCGATGAGATACGGTGTTCTTTGCTCAGCAATATTCAGTTTTACGTGAGTCGAATATTCGCATCCACGTGTGCGTCCACTTTCCCTTTAGCTTAGTTGTATGGTTAGAGTCCGATATGGCATATTCGCGATCGTGAATTCCCACATGGTATGGTAACAATCACAGAGCCATGAGCAGAGCTCTACGGATGAACCGTACAGAGATGCAAACATCTCTCACCGGGTGGGGCGGATGATGTCGCAATGCCTGGAAATTCAATCCCAGACAAGGGAAGTCTACATTCTTCTCCGTGTCGCTTTTTTATATCTTTGGAGCAGAAAGCCAAGGAGAATCGAAACGTCTCCCTGACCATCGATTCATACTCCTCAATGACCTAAAATATGGAGAACACTCAGAAAATACTCATGGACCATCACCGCTACATAAATGAGAGAGATTCCCTATTGACACAATCGTCCATAACTTCACTTCCTTCTCATCGAACCATATATGGTCACTGGCGAGGAGTGGGTACAAGCAATCATGTATTTATGATAATGGATATATTTATTTCTCAGTGGGTGCCTATTTACATCTGTAAAATATGCAAATGTGCATTTGTGAAGCAATAACAATTTTTAATTTTAACTCATGGTCGTCAAATCGTTGGTGAAATATTGTACATTTCGGTGCTCTGTTTTATCTGGGCTTCGCATGCAATTGCGATTTGACTTCGCCTATTGTTGGAATGGAGAGGTCCATTTGAACCAATGATTGAGTGTCTTACATTCTTGACTTTGGGGTCGAGTTTTGGAAGAAAAACATGTGAGTTCCACTTCTTCAGTTTCCTTTTTTTCTCGATGCATGATTTCCAGAAATCTGGAATGCTGACGTTTGTGAATATGTAGCATAGGATTACGACCAGGTCGTCTAACATCTGCTCTTCGAACTCCTCGTTCTGTGAGAAAATACAATGAAGAGTTAAGAACTTGTCGATGAAGCTTGATGGATGAGTTTGCATCTAACATTTCCACTGCATATCTAGTGTATTCTCCTTTTTTGTTGCAGGAGAGTACCTTCATTCCATCGTGGACGATGTTGTTAATTATGCCCTTGTCAAGTAGAATCTTGAAGATGTAGACTCCCGGCTCGTGGTACTGCAAATGCATGGCCAGCTGAGAATGGCCCCCGACGTTCCCCTTCACGTTTATATATTCCTGCATGGTTTTTGTGCCGAAAAAAAAACTCAACCGAAAAGGAGGTCGCACAATATAACCCTAAACTGTGAACAAACTCGCAGTTTCCAGTTGTGCCAAATCAACGATTTGAAAGAGGATGTTAATGGGGAGATACCAGCTGAATGAGGAAGAGGAGCCCAAAAATGAAGAAGTATTCCGTATGTTCTTTCCACGTGTCTGACGTGAGTCCTCCTAGGGGCAAGGACAGGAAGGATCGATGTCTATGGAAAAATAAAGAAATAATTTCATCATGAAGATAATTCAGAGAATGTTTACTTTATATTATCATATATCATGAACTATTTTTATTTACATAAGGTTTTAACTGTTATATGCGGTAACGAAACGATCATTTTGGAAATATGATATGAAATAAGCTCATAAATACAGGGCGTTTCATTTAAATTGTACATCTTTGAACGCTCATATCTCTGAGAGGACGCAAGCGTTCTTTACGAAATTTGACCACAATATAGAGCTACCTTTGCCAAATTATTGGACAGAGTTTCTTNTGACCTTCAGATCCTTCTTGAGTATCCTCCACGCTGATGTTTTGGATATCCCGAGCTCAAGCCCGATTCTCTCAGACCCGGCATTCCGGTTGGCCTCTGTGTGCACCTGTGCAGCCTCTTGCACCCTCTGAATATTTTCTGGGGTTCGTACTGTTGGCGAAAGCAACCTTGGATGGAGTACGGATCCGAATGTTCGAAAATTTCGGTAAATGTTTGCAAACACAGACCGATTGATTGCAACACGCCTTGGCAGATTCCAGATTGTCCTCAAAGTTCTTGAGGTCTCGCTGGGAGATTTTTTGTTCAAGAGATATTGCTCCAAAATTTCGATTTTTTCCTCTTTGGTGTAGTGACTAGCCATGGTATCTCGCTGACTTGGTGGCAAAGTCACGCTAACATTATCCCAGATTGCAAAATGCTTTGACCCATCTGTTTACCTAACCTTCATTTCGATGACCTTGTGCATTCTGGTCAAAAAAGTTATAGCCTTGCGCCGTAGGCCTCACGGCGCAGGCTCAGGCCTCAGGCACGACAATTAAAACCTGGGAGTTGAGCACGTTCTCTCGATAGTCCCTGGTGAAGACCCCCAAAACAGCCTTCCCAGCGGGCATCACCTTCTGATTGAATCTGGCGTACACGGTCGCTGCGACCTGATTCACAAGAGCTTTTGTCGGCGCAACGTACACGACAACGCTCTCGTTATCCATCTGGAGGACCTTGCGTATGCAGTAGTAGGATGCATAGGTCTTACCTGATGAGGTGGGGGCGACAATAAGCATTGACTGGCTCATATCGATAGCATCGAACATTTGCCTTTGCCACGTGTCTGGAATGAACTTGTTGATCCGGGGATCGGGATCGGTTCTGTACTCACGCTTCAAATGTGGGCCCATGTGTAACATTTGAAAGCGGATACTGGATTCCCCATCCTTCCTCTTCACATCATTATTGGAGAGTTTCAGTTTCTGCAATATATCTGGGAAACCAATCGTATTCAGAACTTCGGTAATTTTTTCCATTTGCCTTGGCTTCAAGATTTCTCGGGTTTCTTCGAGAAGTTTCCGTATGTCCATGAAAATGCTTACTGTTGTGGAAACAGAATCTTTTCTCCAAAGTTTCATAGAAACACATAATCGTAAGATGAGCAGATCCGTTTGAATTTCAACATCTTGAAATTGTTTCATCTTCACAGTGATTTCTTTCCTGACCGTCTCAAATTGGAATCTCTTCAACTCCAATTTCCACTTTTCCTTCACCTCCCGAAATTGCTGGAGTTCGCGCTGCTTCTGCTCTTCTTTCTTCTTCTTTGTATTCTTATTCTTGATCAATTCTCCTTTTTTGCTCACACCAGTTTTCTTACGTTTTATGGTCTGTTCTACGACGGCAATCTGTTCGGAGACATCGCGACCTTCCAGTGAATCTCCGTAGAAGCGCATGAATTTTACCAACTTCTGTTTGTGTTTCTGTGTGTTTTCTATTCGTTGTTCCCAGTAATCCTTTGGCTTCCTAGCGTTACGGATGGCCGTTTCCTTCTCGGTCAGGATTTCTTTGCCGACATGGTAATGATACTTGTTTAGTGAGTCAGGAGGCATATCCGTGTCACCCCATGCAACTTCCTTCAAGAATGGGAGGTTCGGTAGATTATCAGATAATGGTGCATGAAAATCCGGTAGGAATTTCTGCACCAGCAGAACTGACTTGGAAATACATTCCGCCTGGATGGGTAAGGTGTCCGCTTCTCCTACTTCTGGTTTCTCGCCCAGAATTTCCCTCGCGGTGACCACCGACAGAGGGGCTGCCTTTTTAAAGCATCTCGAGAGTTCCATGTAATGGTCGTGAACTGGCTGTGTGACTGTTATTGTCTTTTCTTTCTTAGCCAGAGTAAGCATCTTGAGAAACATTCTTCCGTCCATCAAATCCGCGATTTTTGTGAAGTCAAGATCGTCTCTTGTCCTGAGTATTTCAATAATTTTTGCCATTTCCAACTTTATCGAGGACAGAAAATCCAGCAACCCTGTTGATAATTCTTCAAGCCTAGGATTTTGACCTCTGTGTTCAAGTGGGAGTCTCATCATTATTGCAACATGTAGAATGAACACTGCTGCTATATATCGGAATTCCTCATTCAGTAGATTTATGTTAGAGATAGCTAATGTTGCGCAGAGAACTCTGGCATCTTTGCCGACATCAAATGCTCCTTCTGAAATAGCCTTCGAATGATCTTTTTTTATTGCCGTGAGGTATTTTGCCTCAGGCATTCCCAAAACTTCCATAACACAATCATCTCTAACATTATCGCAGGTCAAGACGTATGCGTATATGCAATTTGCTTGTAACGATATTGAATCCAACAATATAATTCTCATATTCTTCGATGCATATGCGATCATATTTACCTTGAGGCAAGATATAATGCCTAATGGAATGATGGCTGGAATCCGTTTTGCATCAACTTCTCCAGAATGGCACAGCACCGATGCATTCATGCGATTTTGGAAGTCCACATGGCAACTAGATGGAAAGGAGAGAACGCGACAGGGCGAGTTCTTCTCCAGGTGTGTGTGAATGACCGGTCTTGCTAATAGTAAAGTCGGATTTTCATTCCATAGTTTCAGCGTGTTTTCGAAGAAGATGATAACGAGCACTGCCCCTCTTTCGTAGAGCATTCCCAGAAACCTCTCGACTGCATACACCAGATGTAAGTATTGCCCTCCGTAACTGACGTCCACCGATGAGTTGAAGAGGATAAAAAGCAGCAAGGAATCTCCGTCGAGAAGGAATGTGTTTGAAACAGAGAATTCATCGGCGATGTTCTTCCGCTCTCCCGATAGAACCAGTTTCTCTGCCAAAGCCTCGATGTCTAACTCTGAAATGATAGTTTGTAATAGCGAGGAACTTTTACAGTTGAAGACGAATAGGGAAAGCTTTTCTTAAATTTCCTTTAATGCTCCACTCTCAGCAGGTATTGAAAGTCTCAGTTACATAAGTATAACTCATCAAGAAAAAGTTTCCATCTGCATCTTGTATCAGTTGAAACCTGAAGATGCTGTTGGATTCCTCATTGAATTACGTTTGTGTCTGACCGGATCCTAGAACATCCAACAGGAATGATTATGGGAATATCTACAGGAAAACCTATGGTTTTTTCGGATATGATGTACTATTGGCCCTCTTCGTAAGGGGTACCGGGCTTGAACCTTAAATATTCTGACGTGATACACATTATGAGACAAAAATGATCGAAATTGTCATTTTTGGTGAGCTGTGCGTGTTGCTTGGTGTGTGTTGGTGAGTTGCTCCTGGGCTGTTAATTTTGGCAACATTTGATAGGTATATGAGGTGACGAAGTTGCGGCGGATTATGTGCCGAATTTCAGCATTTTGGCTCTAAAGTTTTTGCCACTGTAATTATTCCCTAATGAACCATGATAAAATGTGATATTGAACGTATCGTTATTAACTTGAGTTCCAATGTTACTGATGTGGCACCAGGCACAAAATGAGGACATGTATGTTAATATATATTTTCAAAAAATGGTTTTGTCCAGAAATTCTACTTCAACTTTATCTTATAGACCATAGATACCTGTACCTACTTCGGTCAACATTTTCTCAGGCCTCCATTGATGAAAAAAAAGGAAGGGCATTCTTGTCGTGTTAATGCCGTAACACATTTTAACAACCGTGTTCGTTCTTCAGCTTCCCATTCAATATTGTCTGATTTAGCAAGGCCTGAAACTTCCATATTTTCTGAAAAGAAGACAAATACCATTAACTTTCTTCGTGCCAAATAATTTTTTTTTCTAAAATATGAATTGCCTAGGAGCGTTTTCCAATATTATTGATGTAACATATTCGCCAAAGAGCGAGATTCACCAATTAAGTGTAAAAATTCATTCAAATGGAATGGTCCAGAAGTGACAGAAAGCCATCCTAACCCAGGTGATGAATGAAGAATAGAGCTAATGTGGTTCAAGATTGGTACCCACGCAGTGCTGAAGATGTAAGTTGGATGAGTCTTTTTGAAATTTTACCTTTTACCACCTTTGTCCCAATTACTTTGGAATAGCCCAGGTCTGCATTCATGGAAAACATGATCGCCGACCGCAACAAGCTACGTGTATTTTTTATACCGATAGGCTAGGCTGTTACGAACCTACTTTAAATAAATATATGTTAACAAATCTAATGTAGCTTGCTATACATACGTTATTATACGGGACATTACATTTACTCTAAATAAAATATTTTCCTTTGCTTGTTTTTCATTAAAGTGCATTGCCAGACATGCTAAAATATGTGGCATATAGAGTAGTAGATCTTGCTCTAGTTCAAAATGGGCGACTTGACAATGGAAAATGATGAAGGCTTTTCTAAAGGAGAATTGGTCAAGGAATGGCCTTGAAAATGTCATCTAGAAATTTAGTTTGATCTGGTGGCGAAGTTGCATGCGAAAATATATAAATTAACAACAATTTTTCTTAGATTTAAAATTGAGAAAATATCATTCTCACAAATATAGGAATTTTGATTTTAAAGTCCGCCTACAAACCCTTATTGAGTCGCCCTATCACTCCGAAATTTCATTAGAATCGGCACCCAGAATCGGCACCTACAATCAGATTGACAACTCACCAAAAATGACCCTTTACCCCGTATTCCTAATTAACCAGGTAGGTATTCTGAATAATATATAATCCTGGATATAACCTTGCTACTTAAGAGGATCGAAACATTAAAAAATATACAAAGTCAGAACGATGAAATAAATACATGTCTTCTCCATGGATTCTACTGTTATTGAAAAATTATTCAATTTTGGTTTCTTCCCGGGATGATAATGGGAGAGTTAAGTGCATTGGCTTTAGTTTGCAATAGCAGTGATTGCCAATATGCTCAGTATCCTTATTGCTAATCTCATCACGATAGAATTGCAGTCGTATCAAATACAAGGTACGCGCAAGCGTAACTTTAAACCCCATTCACAATATCACATAGTTTCACAGGAAGAATAAGACAAGAGTTCCCTTTCTCTTATTGCGCTAATATATAGACCACAATCTATACATACTCGTATTCACGGTTTGCAGTATATCACCAAAAGTAGAAGCTTTGGAACTTGCTTTGTTAGGACGATAAGAATAATTCCACAAAATCCACAGATAATATATTGCCTATCAGCCTAGAACATGAAGAGACGGAATAAAATTTACCTGATTTTGGGAAGCTGCCCGAAGCAAATTCATCATCATCCTCGTCTGACCCTGAGGTGAGAAGACCTCCCTCCTCCTTGCTATTCATATCGATGTCTGCTACAGCATTCTAATACTGTTCACTTGTGGGTGAATTCTCAATATGTGTTATCTCCAGAGTATGGATAAGATAAGACAGCGAGCAACTTCCATTCCCTCGTATCAGCTGTATGTGGAAAATGCGTTTCACAAACAGGAACTACCATTGTTGGTTTACCGAGGCTATGCGCATACTTAGCCATGATGACAGGATATATTCCAATGAAAGGAGCCTATCGTAAGAATTGGATGCAATGGCGTTCTGAGCATAGCGGTAATACTGACAGCCTATACCTCAATGTCGAGGATGCTCGACAAATTCTGAGAATGGGACAGACCCTGCTTATTGAAGATTGACTCAATGAAAGTAATAGAAGAAAACGCGCTGCACAGGGTGATCCATTTTCCAATGACTGTGGGTCCAGTGATGTGAAAGCAGTTACGTTTCCGGTTTCGAAGCCTCTTATGAAATACTGAAAACCACTGATAGCACCTACAGTACATAGAGATTTGTGCATTTGAGAGAACAATTTTTTTCCTGAAAACTGTAGAAGGGAATCAGGTGCGTTTCCTGATGTTTTCCAATTTATAAATATACATCCTATGTTTGATGTATACAGTTATTTGTTAGCCACAACAGGTGTTGTCATGGTGTAAGATCATGGTGTTGTAATAGTCGACATGGTGTAAGGACTCTGTGGGACGCTTTCACATTCTGACTGTGATACAATATGTATAAAAAAAACACTCTACATCATTTTGGAAACCATCCGTGAAAAAGAATGGCCCTGACAGGGATAAACGACGCTATGTTGTGCGATTTGACAGTTTTTAGCAACTCTGTACTGTCACTCTTCAGTTTCGACTAGGAATACATGACTCGAGTTGCCTCACGGGGTAATCGTATATAGTAGGCCAACTTTAATGCAGACCATGATACAGATTCGGAACATCACCCTCGTTATGACAGGCAAGCCGGAGTGGGTGGGAGGGGGGTTGTGGCAAGAGAGGAAGCGAAGTGACATGCAGGCGATATGTCTACCTGCTGGACTGGTACTTTCCAAAGCGACTTCTTCAACATCCTCTTCTGACTCTGAGGCGAGGCCCTCTTTGTCTCCCACAATTTATTTTTACCTCGGAGGGAAAATGAGAGTTACTTCGATGCTCAAAAATCAGGAAACTTCACGTATCTCTGAGCTATGCGCTCTGCATGGGTAATTTAAGACTGTCAGGGTTATCTCTTCGAAGTTTTATATTAGTTGCGAGCTGGACGGCGTGATTCATAGACAACCTGGATTTCCTGTTATATTTCCTGAACAGAAATTTATGAGTAAAAACAACCAGTCTTCCACTCCGCCTTGTATGGAATCCGTATGTCACGTTTGTGTCCAAACAAATCTTGAACTTCATCAGCGTTAAATAATAAATTGAAATGCTTCTGAAGAATCCAAAAGTCATGCCAATTAAGAACGAGAGTAATTCCGAGCGGGAAAGAGGGTCAGTAATGCAGCATTATTTATTTTCTATCACATCAATTCAATTGGCGCTTATGGTTGTAATGTACTCGTCATCTTGGCCTAGTTATCGTGGCTCTCAATTCAAGTTGCTTTTACGAGTATTTTTACAATTAACTTTGACATACTTGGAGTGACTTAGGAAGGCCCGTTGGACGCTTTTCGCGCCATGTCATTGTCATCAGCTCAGAGGAATCTCATGGGTTTCTAATAGGACCGACAGAATTATCTTATGAAACTTATAGGTTTTTACTTTATAGAATTTTGACAATCTGCTAAACCCTGGAGGAAGGTCACTTTCAGGTGCGGCCGGTGGCTAAAAGTGGCAGGGAGGTTATATTAGGAGGTAATATTAGGTGATATATTAGACAAATACCTTTATACGGAACCTTGGAAATATTCATTTGGGATCGTTTCTTTCCTCTACGTTGACCTGTAGACAGGATTGTAGAGTAAAGATTTATTGCATGAACGTTACCAATTTCTATGAAGATAAACGATAATTTGCTTTGTTGTCCCCACACCTAACAAAAGGCTGCAACCCATTCCGATTTTGCTGCAAAAATGACAGACTTTTGCAGCAAGTTTGTAATAATTGGTTCCAGTCGATGCATTCTAATTATATGTGATTTTTTCCTGAACCTGATGGAACCACTGAGGGTCTTGCGCCTTACCGCTCTTATGACCAGCTACATCGCGCATTACAGGATAAATGCATTAGGTGAACATGTGAACGGGATTACCGACTTAAGATCTATTGACGGGTACCTGAAGCTCATTCTGACCCTACCCCCCAACCCATTTACAATTGAATGAAATGACGAACCCCCGGCTGACGCTCGAAAGTACCATACCTTGGGGCTGGTGTTCCGCATGACCGGTCCTAGTTCGTTTTCCATGGTCTCCTGGATTAAATTTTGGAAATTTCAAGTTCACGAGCAATGGTAAAAGTGGTACTTCTCTTGTTAACGAGTTTCATTTTAATTTTGAGGTTTCATTTTAGTTGTTTGGCTGGAGCGGGTACAATATTTGTGTGTATTGGCCAACCCATTTGATGAAATGCTAAGGAGAGGCACTCCAAATGGAATGATTTCCTAACTTTCAGCCAAATTATCAAAATTTCTTGTCCAAACCTGACCATTATTGTTGAC